CAGCACGAATCTAAAAAATAACGGATAAAAATAAAAAAGTTCCCCCAAGAATAAATAGTCGGTCGACAAGTCACCACCAAGCCGGTGAAGTCATGCCTCTAAACATTAGACATGTCAAAGCTCTGGGGATGTTCCTTCGCCCGATAGCGACAAGATCTGTCAAGGGCAAGACGTAATTCATCATAGCAGTAAGTCTCATCGAATACCTCATACAGGCAGGGACAATATCCGCCCAAGACCTTGCAAATAGGGTTATCTGGCTGAGGCAACGAACCAATCAGGTAGATGAGACTTAGGTCCCCGTAAGACTTGAGTCAAAGTGACAAGTGAGTCGCGGTTCACTAGACAAAATACATCGACTCATCAATTGATAAACTGACCCACTGAAGCACAGGCAAAAACCCCCTGATCGCAATTGGACGCTCAACCTGCTTTTGCCATGACAGATGAGATCGTCATTCGACCGATGTCTCAGTCGACCAAACACAAGGCACGGTCACCACCCAGCCGATCGCCTCATTCGATCAAATTCTAGCAAGTTGATCAACCAATTACTGTCATGTCAATATTCAAATTGTAATACAAATATTAAATAAAATCTATACAATTTATTAGAGCATTGATCATATTAAGAGCACTTTTCATATATGTTCTCTCTTTTCTATAAATATACAAAATATGCCCCTATAAATAGAAGAAAAAAATACGAATAAGGGGAAGCTTCCCTGGCTCTCTCGACAGTAACACTTGAATCACTTTATTCTCTCCTTCACTCTACTCTAACGTTTGACGCATGTTCACAAAAGACAATCATGATCCAATATTCTAAAGGTGATGCGGTGAGTGTGGACATGCTCCATACAGTAAGCAGAGCTAAATATGAAGGAGAAACTTCCTAAAGAGAAACTACACGAATGGAACCCAATAAGGAAGCACAAATAGACGTCCAAGCGCAGGTTCAAAGCTTACAAGCTCATATAACCCTCATGAAGGAGCAATTCTTGGCCCTCTGAACGGGAAACACTGAGAGGAATGACTAGGTGCTTTGCTTAGAAGTGGAACCTCAAGGGGTTCATCCCATGAGGCCCCCACAGAGGAATTTACCTATCTCGCACAACCAGTCAGCAACCTGCAAATAGAGGGGAAAGAAGGGGGCAGAGGAGACGCTGTCCAGGCGGTCGCCTCTCTCCTAGAGTTCCAACTTGGGTCCCTTCCAATTGGGCCTAAGAATTCCTTTACACCCTGAAGCCACCGCAAGAAATGTGATCGTAGGCAGCCAAAATGAGCTGGAGAAAAACCTGTTGCCACCTGAGGTGTCATGTTTTTTTTTTTCCGGAACACAGGGTAAGGACGTGCTGAGAGACAAAACGAACCCCACACATAGTTGAATGGATGCATTATCCTTATGAGGCGGTGAATTTAGCACCTCTCTATAAGTTCACCTTGTCCGTTCGTGGTAAGGGTCTATGCTCAGACATCTAACTCGACTCAACTGAGGTTTGATGTCCAACCCGCATAAAACGCTCCCCTTTAACGTAAGACTCACAGAAAAAAGGTTAAAATGAGGGTTCTAGCCTCAAAGCAACAAAAACATGTATCAATGAAAGATCTTCTCTACCGGTTGTCTAAGGAGTCGTACGACCACTCTCTACCCTCGCAAATCCGATACACATGTTGGAAAGGGCAAGGACACCATAAACTTCTTTCCCCTTTATATAGAGAGAAAAATTCTACTGTTCGCGGAGGGAACCACCAAATGAAAAAGTCATTGATTCAGTGCATTGATGGGGCATCATGTCATTCTATTTCCCAAAAAGAAAGTGAAACATCACCACCAAGCAACCTTTAATGCGTCTCTAGTTCCTAAAAAAAGCATTAAACATGGAGTGGTCCAGGGACTTGGGGAAATGGCCTTGGCAAGGTATACTTTTAAACCCTTGCCAAACAAATTCAGAGACTTACGATGACCAAACGCTTCGAGCAGTCGAAGATCGCTTGACGATCAAGAAAGCCAGGCCATCAATTGGTCCAAAAGTCCCATAAAAGACCCACGGGTCGGGATCCTGGGGCACCCTTTTCATGCTCAATAGTGATAAGATCCGTAGAGGAGACACCAAAATCATTTAAAATTCTTAAGTGGACATCCACTCTGGTAACAACAAAATTTGTCTAGCGAGTGACATAGAAATAAAGACTTGCACGAGGAGACTAAACAGGGATAAGTCTCCGGAATGTCTAGGAAACCCACCGAGAGACCCATCAATTCAATGAAATTCAATAGACTACTGTGTAATCAATTGAAAAACTTTGATACCTTCCAATCGCGAGCCGATGTACAATCTGTACAGTAGATTACCTAGGGATGGCTCTCTCCTCGCTAGCGACAACATCCGCAAAAGAGGAACAAAAGTCACCCTGAAAACCACAGTCATTGCCCTCTCTAGTAACGAGAAGCTCCATGCCGCAAGAAAAGATTGGTCGGGATTGGTGTTCACTCAAAAGATAACTTGACATAAGCAGACAAAAGAAATAAGAGTCGACCAACCGAAGCACTGCTATTGAATTGATTTATCTGAATCAACGGGTCGACCAATCTCTCTGAAGGCCATCTTCTCAGATAAAACAAAAAATCTCACAACAAGCCTGAATGACTAAGGTAATCACAAAACGACAAAAAAAAATTTCATTTTAATAATATATAATGAATTAAAAATATTTTTACAATGCTAACATGTCCTCAAGCTAAAAGAACAAGATAAAAAAAATGAAGATGCTTGGAGTCGAGGCCTTGACGAGTAGCCAATCAATCTTTGCTAGGGACCCTGGAAGGTTCGACCCCACTTCCCAAACCATCACCTTCCTTCAAAGGATTTGCAGGACAATCAAGCATTAAGGAACTGAACTCAGATTGGTCAAAATACTTCGGGTTGATCAAGCCATGGTTGATGAACCCTTGAATAACCCAATCGCTCCCCAACCCAAGTTGTTCTCCCAACTCCTCACAAGGGTCAATTTGTTGAAAGGCACCCTCTAGTCACTTGTAGTAAGCCAACCACCTCAGCACAGGTGCGTCAGCAAGATTTCCAGTTGTATGATGCAGAACCTCTGCCATCTCTTGCACCCGACACACCACCGCTTCAAAAGGAACTCCCCAGTGCACAGGTTGTGCCTACTGAGAGCTTTCACCCACTTCAATTGATAAAAAAAGACAGATGATCACCTCAAGGGAAACAGTGGCAACAACGGGAACCAAGTCGACCACATCTCCCGACAGCCCACCACCTTCAACATCCTCCATTCCAACCAACACACCTACATTTAAAGAAAGTGCCTAGTTACTAAGTTGTCGAAGATAAAAAAAATTCCTTATGTATCCATATCCAGGAGCCTACAAAGATTTGACACAGAAAGGGAAACCCTTCCACTACCGTTGGAGGGCCTCCCCTCGCTTCCTTCAGGGGCAACTGCAAAGGGATAATTGCACCCTCCGCTCTCGGGCTACTGCATCCGTTAGTACCCCCCTTCTCAGGGAAGATCCTCCACAAACCTATCCTCGCTTGGACCTGGGCCCACAAGTTTCTAGAGTGGCATCTTCTGCGGTTGCTCTTTAGGATTTTTGGAAGAAGCAACCTAATCAACCGGCTCAGGGTTGGTTGTCTCCCCCCTCTTCTCTGTTCTCACTACCTTTTTCCCTTGTGGACTGACACCATTGCATGAGGTACTAATCACACTAAAGCCAATCGGCTTAGATAGACCACTCTTCTGCTCATACTGCCCAACATGATGTCTATTCAGAAATTCATAAAACATTGGCAAAGCAGCTCAGTTCCTGACCTTATTTATAAGACATGCAGAGCATGAAAATAATTAGAGAATTAATTATTAAAAAAAAATTTATTCCTGTGACATGATTGACTAGTAATTTTTATGTTCTTATCACAAGTGTCACTACCAATGAACAAGAAAACTCGGAGAACTAATATGTATATACTAGAACCACCGACATGAATCTCAAAGAGAATGGAAGAGCAAAATTAAAAAGATTCTCGTAAGAGTAAACAGTCGACCGAAAAGCACCGCGCAATTCGGTGAACCCGCGCCACTAAACTCGAGACAAGTCAAAGCTCTGGAGATGGTCCCTCTCCCGATAGCAACAAGATCTTCCACGGGCGAGACATAATTCATCATGGCAGCAAGTCTCATTAGATACATCACACAGACAGTGAAAAGATTTGCCCTAGAATTGCAAATAGGGGCATTCTTCTGAGACGACGAACCAACTAGGTAGATGAGACATAGACCCCGTATGACTTGAGTCAAAATAACAAGTGAATCGCGGTTCACCTAATCATCAGTCGACCAACCGACCAACTGAAGCACATGTAAAAACCCCATGATTGTGATTGGATGGTTGACCTACTTTTGTCATGACAGACGAGATCGTCATTCGACCAAATGCCTCATGGACCAAGCACAAGACACGGTCTAGCAAATCGATCAACCAACCATATCAATATTCAAATTGTAATACATATATGTGATGACATCTGCACAATTTATAAGAGCTTTGATCATATTAAAAAAGATTTTCATAATTGTTCCATTATTTATGTAATTGTATGAAATAAATCCCTGTAAATATGAGGTAAAAATACGAATATGGAGACCATTCCACGGTTTTCTCTACAATAACTCTTGGTCCATTTTATTTTCTAATTCACTCGATCATAACTCTCAAAACATGATCACAAAAGATAATATGACATTCGATAATTACTTTTGATATATAGAATGTTACAATAAGAAATGTGGGGCAAACAAAAAATTAATTTTATGAAAAATTCCAATCAATAGGTGCAATATAATATTAATTCAGCTTTTATTCTAGTGACCGGTCGCACCCATAGTTTATTAATGCCCATCTCTCAAAAAAAAAAAAAAAAAAC